GAGACCCAATCTCTTCACACAATCAGCAGCAATAAAACAGTGAGTAGCACCAGTATCAATAATAGTAATAAGAGGAATGTTATTAATGAAACTTGTACCTCGAACAAGACCATCCTTGTTTGCCGTTGGAGCACCCGACAAAGCAAAAACCTTTCCCGCTCCTTGAGTTCTCTTGGGCTTCTTACATTGAGCACTAATGTGACCTCCCTCGCCATAATTAAAACAAACTACATCCTTATGCCTACAATCACGAGTCATGTGGCCCACTTCTCCACATCGGAAACATCTCACCTCATTCTCCTTAGCTCTAACATCACTTCGACAAACATTACTTTTGTGGCCAGGTTTCCCACACTTGTAATAAACAATACTAGCAAGAGCATCTCCCCCACTAGTTATTCACCCTTGAAACGCTTTCTGTTTCCCTTTACCAGCTGGAGTATCATATGGCTTTCCACGGATTTGCTGACCTTTGTTTCTCTTATCAGACATGATCTTATAGTGTGCATTACTGTCCTCCTCAAAGATTCTAACTCTATCAATCAAATCCGCAAAGACACAGATTTTCTAATATCCCACAGCTTTCTTTATCTCAGGACGCAAGCCATTCTCAAATTTAATGCACTTTGAAAACTCGGCATTCGCTCCATCATAATGAGGATAAAACTTAGCCAGCTCGGTAAAATTTGCAGCATAATCAGTGATAGACATATTCCCTTGTTTCAGCTCAAGGAACTCTATCTCCTTCTTTCCCCGAACATCTTCCGGGTAATACTTCCTCATGAACTCTCTTCGAAAAACTTCCCACGTCACTTCTTCACCAGCAACCTCAAGCCTCTGACGGGTTTCAACCCACCAGTCATCCGCTTCAGCACTTAACTTATGAGTACCATAACGGATCCTTTGCACAGGAGTGAAATCCATCACATGGAAGATTCTTTCAATCTCCTTCAGCCACGCCAGAGCACCTTCAGGATCATACTTTCCTTGGAGAGTAGTAGGATTCTCTCTTTGGAAGGTTGCCAAACTACGAGACCCAGCGTTCTCGCCAGCATTCGGCAGGTTTTGGAAAGCCTGGGCCATTACCTACATAGCAGCAGCAAGAGCCTCATCATTCCTACCAACGTTCCTTCCATCCATAACAACTTTTGCTCACAACAAAACAAGGATTAGAATCAACAAATAACAATACTTGATTGTTAAACAACAACAAACTTAACAACTTGGCCGGACAGACCGACCTGCTCTGATACCACTAATGTAACCCCCAAATTCTACCCCTCGTAATTAATAATAAAATCATATTTTCAAAATTTCATCCAAACATAAATTGAGGTATCACATATTCGTGTTTTTCATCACTTTGCATTGTAATGCACATCACAAAAATCAAAAGTGGGATATACTGATTCATATCATAAATCATCATATAAATATATGACTATTCACAACACAACGGATGTGTTCACAAAATGTACATATCATCATGTTATCATTAATACATAAAGTCATAAGATAGTATACGTAAACTATCCTATCAAAATAATCACATCGCCCAAAACCTGAGTGTTACTATTATAAGAGCAGAGCGACTCAAAATAGAGAGACTCAAGCTAATCCTCGTCATCCTCGCAGATCACCTGCACGTTATCAATATAAAGGCAACGGCGAAACAAGTAAAGGGTGAGATACTCCAAAACATATAATTAAAGGTATGATAAAATATATAAATAGTTTTGGAATCATAAATGATATAGGATAATAAGAGTATGTCAACAAATATCCAAATCTCACATACTTTTAAATCATCATTTAGTGTATAAAATCAACACTTTAACATCGTCACATAATCACCATAATCATATCAAGACAAAACATAAACTCCATCGCCATAAACTCATATTGTCGCTTTACCGTCATGTTATATACATCGCATAATCTTCATGAAATCATCTCATTATATTCACTTTATGTTCAACATAAAATTCATCACAAAACAAAGTATCATATAACATCGCAATCGTTATAAGCCATCAAATAAAACTCAACGCCAAAAGACTCAAAAATAAACATAACCGACTCCATGAGACACGAATATGTTATGCATGTGGTACTCGTCGCTTTGCCCATAATTAGGGACATTTGGCATAAAGCCCAAATCGCTTTGGCATAAAAGCCCTCGTCGCTTGGCATAAAAGTCCTCGTTGCCAATGCAATGTATGTGACTCGACAACACGACATCACAAACACGACACAACAAAAAAACATCATCATCACACATCAAAATTGGAATAAAGCCCACGTCTCTATATTTATGCACATCAAGATAAACATATCATCGCATCATTTATCATCAAGCATTCATTATGAATAAAACGTCACAAACATCATATTTAATCATACAACATCATCATCAATTGATTCACTTAATTCCAAACATGGAAAATTAATCAAACATCAATAATCGTTGCAAAAGTCATTCACAATAATCGGCATCAATCATAATAGTCAACGTCGCAATCAAATTATCCATACGCGACTTAAACCGACTAAAACACAACCCGATTCAATTTAACCGTAAATTAACCTATTTCGGGTCGCTTCGTAAAAAATCGAAATCTCGAAAAACAAACCTCACCACGACATTCTACACGTCAAAATTAGCTAGCACGTCAATTTTCGTTCAATTCGGAGCAACTAGCTCCGTCGCCGAAATTGCCGAAATCGAGAAATTGGAACATAATCGAGTTTCAAATTAAATCGGCTAACTTATGTCATATTTGTTTTTAATTAATATAATTAACTAACATAAGAATTATGAAAATTAAAATTTAAAACAGAAACTATTTCATACTGAAAAACTAGAACAGAGGAATAACATTACTGCACAAGAAAAAAAAAGGAAAACAGCAAGTGCCATAACTCTCTTCAAGCATGAACAAAGGGACGGATGTCCCCATTATGCACATGAGAAAGGAGGCTAAACGTCCCACCTTCATGGCACTTTATTTATTTATTTATTTATTTTTGTTTTGTTTCATTTTTCTAAAACATATTCCAAAAAAAAATATGAAAACTTACATAATTTAATTTCATTTGCAAACTGACAGTTTATTCATTTCCAAATTAATAAAATTCTATTTTCTTTTCAATTTCAATTAATTCTAATAATAATTCAACAACAACAACACCTAAATCAACTCCTCTAACCTCTATCAAAATCACTCAACACAACTCATAAACCCTAAAATCAATTTTATCCCAAATCAAACCCTAACTATAGGAAGTGGAAAATCAAACCCCTTACCTTAGATGTTTAAATTGATTCTTGATGATTCAACCAACCATAAAACCCAAACTTTGTTCTTGCTTCTCTTCTTCTCTTCCAAGACTCTCTTTTTTGTTCTCTATGTGTGTTTTGTGTTATGATACTTCTATCTCTCATAAAACAACAACTAATGCCTTTGTTTAGATTTTGGTCTTAAGACAACATGAAAATACCATACTATCCTCCACTAGTCTTACTAACCCAAAATATAATTCAAAAGGCCACTTAATCAAAATAACTCCAAATAATTAAATATCGGTCCGAATAATATTTTACTGAACCGAACGGAATAAAAACAGGACCGAACAAAATAATTACCGGTCCCTCAAAACAAATACCGGACCGAATAAAATAATTACTGGTCCCTCAAAATAAATATCGGACCGAATAAAATAATTACCGGTCCCCCAAATACCGGACCGAATAAAATAATTACTGGTCCGAATAAAACGTCGCCGAATATATTAACAGATATAACGGTTAATATAAATATTCTCGTCGCAAAAATAAACGTCAAACGGTAACTCGAAAATATTAATATAATATAATATAATATTAAATAAAATGGGGCGTTACACTATTCCATCTCTCTTCTTCTTTGAGCAGTTCTTCAATTCTAATTAGTTCCTTCTGAATGCCTCTTGTTTGATACTCTAGAAAGAAATCATATAGATGCCTCAAAGAAAGTAGTCTGTCAAAACTCCCAAGCCTAGAGTTGTTCCACAGTTGTCTCACCATCTCTTCACATCTCTTATCACTGCTCCACACCTCTTAGAACCTGAATAGGTGTTGCCTTTTACTTTTATTACATTTATTATCGTCTTCCAAAATTGTACTCATAACCGCGTGATCTGAATCGAATTTAGAGAGGTGGTTGACTGTAATTGGGGCATATCTACTCACAAAATCATCTAAGGCCAAACATCTATCTAGCCTATATTTTATATTCTCACTCCATTGTCACCCATTCATCCAGGTGTACGAATATCCATTGGAACCCAAATCAGAAAGTCTAGAGTTGTCCAAAGCAGATCTTCTAATAGAAGTTTGACTAACAGTTCTGCAGTTACCTCCATGCTTTTCGTGATCAAACAAAGTGTCATTCAGATCCCCTATTACCAACATTTTTTTGCTATCCCTTTTAACCAAGTCTTTAACCAGTTCCCATGTATTTCATTTATTTTGCTCTTCGGGAAAACCATACACACCACAAAGGGATCATTCCTGGTTGTCACTCATTAGTAATATGTCCTTCAAAATGATTTTTTGAAAACCACTTAGTAGTCATTTACACACTTTCCTTCCACAGGATTAACAAGCCTCCATCCCTATATTTTCCACTCCCACTACAATCAATGCCTAGGCTACAACCCAAGCCACTTTTGATTCGCAGTGCTCGAGTTTCAAAATATTTCAGACGCGTTTCCATGATAAAAACCACGTTGGGGTTATCCACATGAATGAGCCTTATCAAGGCTCGAACTTCACGGGAGCTCCCCAAACCCTTTCAGTTCCAACTTAATATTTTCATTATTGTAGGCGGTGTTGGTCTTCCAACACCACCTCCGATTCTGGTTTCTTTGACACAACACTCGCTTCCTCTCCTTGACACTTGATTTTTTCCCCCCACTTCCACGAGCCTCCATCATTCTGTCCACAATCATGACATAAATTAGTTGTCTTTTTCCATTTCAACCACCATTTTCTTCTTTGTATACTCCGCCCATGCATTCCTTCCAAGTTGTCTCCTAGTCCACTTCTTTTGCTTTACAGGAGAACTGGTTTGGGTATCACCCCGTCCATTGTGTTTTCTAGAGATGTCAACCGCTCCAAGTGACTCTGCCATTGCTTATATTACCAAGCTCGTGCCTATATTTCCCAGTACATTGTCCTTCAGCATACCATTTTTCATCACCGAACCTTGACCTGTTTTATGTTGCTCAACTTCACCTTCTTCTCCTTCATTCCTTTTACTTTTGTTATCACATCTACTTTACCCTGACGATATGTTGAAAAGACTCTTACTACAAGAGCTGGAGTTAGAGTCTTTCTTCTTTTACTCTTCTAGTATTATTGGTAATGGTGAGGGTCACAGTCAGGTTCCATATGAAAGCTCCTGTTCTTCTAAATCCTCGGAACCTTCTTCACCTAACTCTTCAACCGCTTCACAATCTTTTAACTGATGACCCATTCTACCACAAACAAAGCAGGAAGTGGGGATACACTCATACTTAAAGTGAACATGAAGGTTCTTGTCCTTGAAACGAACCACAATTCCTCGTTTGAGTGGTTATTTGAGGTCCATATTTGCCTTTACTCTAAGAAATATTCCATTCCAATGGGATTCACATTGATCCATTTCCACGAACTCTCCCAAAATGTCACCCATTTTCTTTGCCATTGTTTCAGATCAAAGAATTAGCGAAAACTCATAGATGTGCACCTAAAAGACTCCATAGTGCATATTTAGATCTGAAGGATGCTCTTTTCCTGAAACCCTATCAAGGATAAGGAGGTTTCTGTCAAAGCTCCATGGTTCATTCCTTAGAACATTTTCCAGATCTCTCTTTGAACTGAAACAGAGCAAGAACAGGTTTTTACCCAGATCTTGCGTTTCAACGAGATTTTTTAGTTTCCATGCTCCAATCATAGTGGACGTGAAATCCCTTGAGTTGAATCTATTTTCCATCCATAGTTTCCCTGCGAGAGTGTGTTCGAAGATTTCACCTCCATACACTTCTTCAATGTCAACTGTAACTCCTTCTTTTTCTTCTTCTTTGGACAGCGAAATCTCTTTCCATCTATCCATAGTAGCAAAAGACAAAACGATATAATAGCCCTCAAGGAATGTAATTGGACAAACTAGAAAGGAGACAATAAATAGATCTAGTATAAATTTTTGCCAGTAATAAGTTGGGTGGAAGACGAAGGCGCCATCAAGAGAACCCTAGAAAGAAAGGGGGAAAGAAATAAATCTTAGATAAGGGGGGAGAATAACACGGTAACTTTCTAGTGAGAAGTGAGACCCTCTCTCTCTCTAGAAATATGTGGAAATAATATAATCAATTATAACTTACAAAATAATGGAATCAACTATAACTTGACTGCAAAATTACAAAAAAAAAATAATGTTTAAAATTTCAAAAAAACTTATTTGTTGAACATTCTCCACTAACAATATTGACCAGTGTCATGATTTATATGCTCTCAATTGATTTTTTGAGTCTAATTTGTTATTCAGAGTTTCTTGTAGGGGTGTTTAAAACTGAACCGATCAATAAAAAACTGTTAACTAAATTGAACCAAATCGAAACTACAAAAACCATATTTAGTCCGGATGTGTTTGAGTCTTTTTTTAACAAAATCATGCGGTTTGGTTTGGTTTGTGGTTTATATTTTACTAACCGAATCAAACCAAACCACATTATGTTACCATCCAAACTTCACTAACCCATCTTCAACCCAAATCTAAACCTATTGTGCATTAGCCTATCGATTACAAATTATTTTCTCTTCCTCACACTTAAGGTTTTAGTTCAAGCCTTCTCAAATCTTTCATACGGTATCACACATTATTCTCATCTTCTTTTCTATGTACGTCTCACCTTTTCTTTTATAGTTTCTCATCTCTTATGTTCTTTCTTTTTCATTTTCTTATTTTTATTCTACTATTATCTCTTCTAATTACGTTTTCTACTCCTTCGCTGCACGACATACTAGACCTTTCATCCCACCTCTGTCCATTGAGAGTATGCGAAGCTCTTACTTTGCCACTTGTTTCCTTCTTATTGAATGCATCCGGTTTTCATTCTCTCCTAAGGCACATGCAAGAATGAATTAATTCAATAAACGGAATAAAACATGGCCAAATCATGAGTTACAACTTTATAAACACGTGGTTCAGTTCCAATAACCATGCGTAAGAGAAGTTCTCGCAAACTTTCTAAAGTAACAAGAACACGACGATTCTCCTGACAAAAGCCATATTCCCATCAACTAACAGAGCTAGTCTTTGCACCTATGAAGTAAACCTTTACATAAAAAGATTATACAATATAAAGATCTGTTTGAGTTCATAAATTGGTTAGTGTTTTAATTTTTATATTATACAATATAAACCATGCTAACTTATACTCTCTCATTTCATTATTAAATGATTCTACTTAATTAAAAAAAATAGTTGGGTAGTCTACCATTACATATGAGCACTTCTTGGACAAAAACTTTAAATGATTAATTATTATATCTTTCTCTGTTTTCACATGCTATTTTAATAATGTTAAGTAGTCTACCATTACATATGAGCACGTGTTTGTCTAAGTTCATGCAAGCTAATTTTAGATTTATGGAAATGAAATTTTTCTGTTATTGTATATTCCATATATTTTACATGATCTCTCTCTCTTAGTTTTTCATATGATTGCATTTCAGCAATATCATCCCTGCATCATATACTAATTTTCATCCCACTTTCTAGGATGCTAGTGTAATACGGTGGTCAGAACCGGGACGTGTTTCCCTATTTTTTAAGGAATTTGCTGGTTTGCATTTTGCGTTTATGTTCGCAAAATATCGCGGTAAGCAAGAGTCGCCACCGTCTTTTATTTTATCCAACAAGGAAAGGAAAAAAACACATAAAAATTTCTTTTTTGAGATATTTCTGAGTACGGGGGTAGATTATAGAAAGGGAAGGTATTAGCACCCTTTCTATCTGTAGTTATCTACGGACTCTTAGGTACTTGCTACTTACTCCTCAATAGTGGGATAGCACTGTCTAAAGGACATTTGCACAGTTTAATTCCTTTTTGAGTGGGTAGATGTTCTTAAGTACTTGCTCCTTTTTAAAAACAAAATAATACTTTTCGCACTTACATTCTCTTTCAAACAAAAACTCTTTTCAAACCCACAAACACAAAGAAAAGCAAACTTTTGAAAACACTATGAACAAGTACCTAAGAGCCCGTGGATAACCACGGATAGAAAGGGTGCTAACACCTTCCCTTTCTATAATCTACCTCCCGAACCCGAGAAACATCTCAAAAAGAAATTTTTCTGTGCTTTTGTCCTTTCCTTGTTGGATAAAATAAGACGGTGGCGACTCTTGCTTACCGCGACATTTTGCGAAAACAAACGCAAACGCGAACCAGCATTCCAAAACAGTCAGTTCTCATTCCCACCGATCACAACGAGAAATTAAGGTTTTGACCCTTCTAACCTTATTAAAAGGAAAATTGTTTTTTTTTATATTTTTAATAAAAGAAATAAGTTTTCTAAATTAAATATGCAATTAATTAGTTAATTAAATTAATTAATAAAAATGATTACATGACCTATTTTATGTTTTTGATTATTTTAGGAAAAAAATAAAATATAATTAAGTTAGTAATAAAACCTATTTATTCTAATTATTTTTAATTATGTACAAAAAGAATTAAAATTGTCTAAATTGACAAACCTAATTAAATTAATTAATTTTTTTAATAAAAAAATATCTAAAATTTAATTGGTGAAAATGATATTTTTTGTGATTTTTGATAAAAAGAAAATAATTTTTGGTTAGTAAATAAATTAAATAAGTTAAATAAAATAAATATAATAATAAAAGAGAAAGAGAGAAAAAGCATTGGGCCTGAGAATTGTGGGGGTGCCAATAGTCAGATATGGGCCCAAAATGGTGAGGTCCATGTTTGACCTTTGAGATCTAGTGTGATGCGTTTGACTTGGCTCATGGTGCTCCCTCCTGGATGGTCATCAGATTTGGCCATCTGACACTTGGCATGATTGATGATGAGGACATATAGTGGACCCCTGGTTGGTAAGCACGCATGTAATTGCCTGAAATAAAATATGAAAAGAACAAATGCTGGAGGCAGGGGTCGAACCCCTAACCTCAAGCCTTCCAATGCCTTAACACCTGCATGGCTACCACAGGGCCATCTGTTTTTGTTGTATACAATATGAATATGAAATAATATAACACAAACAAGCGAGATAATCAGATATTAGCGCGAAATTCAAATGGCCAAATCAGGGGAAGCCACGTCTTCATCTCCCTCCTTGCACCATCGCTAAAAGTTTGGGAACCTATACCTACGGACAGCGTCTGTCGCTACAAACCTGGGCATTCTCAAAATCAAATATAAGCAACATAAATAAAAACTAGGGCCACCAATCGATTCGTCTGAACCTCTTGAGTGTAATGGTGGCCCTTTCATGGTCTAATTTAACCTGCACAAAAAACTTCTAAATCGGAGCTTCAAACCCTAGCCATGGTGAAATTCGCTACAGGCTATATAAATGAAATTAAATAATGCATAAAGCTTGCATATGTTCCACAGATCAAGAATATGTGACTAATTCATGTTAACAATGCCTAAATTGTGCTAACCGATTTCAAAAATGCAAGGATATCGTGAGGGACTTACAGAGCTTTTTGGGACCAGAAAGGCTTGGTTCTTGATGGCTTTAGCTTGCTGAGACTCCCAGGTGTGATCGGTGGAAATAGAACTGACTGTTTGGAATGCTGGTTCGCGAAATGTCGCGGTAAGCAAGAGTCGCCACCGTCTTTTATTTTCTCCAATATGGAAAGGACAAAAGCACAGCAAAATTCCTTTTCGAGATGTTTCTCGGTTCGGGAGGTAGATTATAGAAAGGGAAGGTGTTAGCACCCTTTCTATCCGTGGTTATCCACGGGCTCTTAGGTACTTGCTCACTATGTTTTCAAAAATGTTTGCTTTTCTTGTGTTTGTGGGTTTTGAAAAAGTTTGTTTGAAAACTTCTAGGTAACTCTTGTATCAGTCCTCAAGAGTGTATGAAGTGTTTGTTTGAAAACTTTTGTCAGAAAAGTGTAGGTGCGAAAAGTATTTTTGTTTTGAAAGAGCAAGTACCCAGGAGAAATCTACCTACTCAAAAGAAATTAAGTTGTGTAAATGTCCTTTAGACAGTACTATCCCACTATTGAGAAGTAGGTAGCACCGTCGTTGGAGTTATTCGGGTCAATTCGATTATAGGGACATGTGTGGTCACCAAAGCAATAGTAGGACGCCTTAGCGGTAACCCTAATGTACTAGATCCTTTTTATCCGAGGCAACCGTTTCGAGGCAACTTGGATCTTTAGACAGGAGGGCGACCTCTAAAACACCCTATACTTAATGACCACGTCGAGGCAACCAAGTGAGGCGTACCCTAGGA